ACTAGTTAACCACTTTTTGATATCTTTCAAAAGAAGTGAGATATATAGGCTCAAAGTGGACGATCCGGGTGTCGTTCTATTAGAGGTTTTACGGTATGTCTTCTTCTCATCATCGTTCAATTGAATCCAATTGTAGATACGGACGTAGATAGCCTTCCCCATCACAGTCAGGGACTCCCATGGCTTTGGATTCTTGCAAATACTTGAATATTATGCTTGAGTGCGTTGAAGAGCCAGTTCAGCAAAAGTCTTCTGACTGAGCATCTTTCCATTAAACCCAAATCGTCTTCTGGAACTTTCACAAGCAGTGATGATGTCGGCAGTGTGGATTGAAACTCCATAGGGGAGGTTGGCGTCCAAATTGATCAAGGAAGTGTTAGATGACACGGACGAAGTTGGAGATGGTATGGTGCTGGATGGTGATAGACGATCTGATTGACCGACTAATAGATCCATTGGTAGGTAGGTCTGGCCTGGTTGAGATGGAGCAATTGGTGCTCGTAGATTTACTAATTGTTCCATTGGATGATGAGGTTTAGACGTTGGAACTGGTGGTTGAAGTGTGACGTTTTGAAGCAAATCCTCATATTCCAGGAAGTCATTGGATTGAACGAAGTTATCATGTAATCCAGGAATCTTATTCTCTATTTGTCTACGGACTGGTCCAGCAAAGCTCGCTTGGGTCTGATCCAAATATCCAGTTAATCCAATTGAGCTAGAAAAGGAGTCAGAACCATTTGAAGAATCCATTGATCCAAGGGATCCAGAACTTGATCCATTAGAAGACCCAGGCGATGGTACTGTAGATTCAATTGGGGCGAAGAAGTCTTCATCCGTCAGGCCACCGGAATACGGAGGTGTGAGACCTGCAAATATGTTATTTTTGAAACAATTTGAAAAATGGTTATCTTTTGATAAATATTTTGAAAGGAAACTCAGGTTTTGTAATTCACTGCGACTAAATATTTCAGAAGGACAAGACAAAGATATTCAAAAATACTTACCAGTTTGAGCGCAGCACAAGCTTGCAGATTGCAGGTAGTTGTCAAAGAAATTGCCAACGTTGAACATTTCAGATGAGAATACTATCGATTAAGTTGAATTCGAGAGACTCGAGAGTCGTCTTGAAGGGGAAGGAATGCAAATGAATCATCTTGAGGTGGGGTAGAAAGGGGGCGAGTGGGCGGAGCAATATGGAATGATGGTCCTAGGCAGAACGCGTCTTCACCCTCTGGTTAGGTCTGGTTCACATATCAAAAAAACATCTGCCTTTCAAAGCGGACCAATTATATCTGAAGGCGTTCGGAAAGTTTTTTTGGTGCAGAGACTAGAAACAAAGAGAATAAAAAACATCTCCTTTTTGAAAACGACCGCGTATATAGAAACGCAGTAAAACTCTCCAGCGTTTTTAATTGTGAAGTCAAAAAAATGTTTAGAAGTTACCAGGAATATTAAGAAATTTTTGAAATATTAAAAAAAAACACTTTATCAATATTTGATCTACCAACTTCCAAAACTCCGCGCATTTGTTAAACAATATTTGAAACATTTTTGGGATGATCGTTTCCAAGTTTTTAGCCAATTTTTTTGCCGTTATTTCTTATTGAAAATTCCAGCTCAACATGAACTGGAAACTTCAATCGTTCAATTCTGGCGAATCTTATGGAGGTTTTATTCAAAAATTCTTCAATGGAAGAATTCCATTTCGAGAAGCACATAGGCGACTATTACAGGAGATTGGCAACGATACATCAGATATGGGTGAGCCAAAATGAAAAAATCGAAAATTCATTTTAGATTTCTCAGATCAATCTTCCCCTTCTTCAAGTACTCAAAGACCCGGGATCAAACGTGTGAGCTCGCCAATTGGGGCTCCAGAAGAGCCAAGACCTTCAAAAATGAATAGACAAGAAGAACCAGAAGCACCGATTCCTGAAGAGCATCCAAGAAATGAATATGAGCAGCAGCTTTTTGTGCAAAGATGGGAACGAGAACGAGTCAGCTACTATGCGGGAATATACGACCCACAACATGAGTTTCCACACCAAGTCAACCATATTATTCAAATAGGACAAATCAGAGATTTCTATGAAGAATTGATGCTAGCAGGGATGGATAGTTGTCCTCGTGACGCAGAAAATTTTCGTTTGGCGGAAATTGCAAATATTTGGGATTTGTAAGTTTTTTTTGGCATAGAGTGCCAAGTAAGACTGTCGAGCAATAATTTAAATTTTCAGATTGTTCTTCCGAATGATCTCTCCTCAATGTTGAAAGTTTGCTGAAAATTTTATCGTAAACCAAATTTCGAACCTGAAACTTGTGATTGGCCTGGAAAATGTTCGAATCGAAATTAAAGGTGAAGATGGAAGTAAAACAATGATTGAATACAGAAGAAATGATCAAGGCAAAGAAGAAGTGAAATATGATAATCGAACTGTTGAGTACAACACTCCTAGCTACAAGATTTTGGCGGCTTGTGATTTCTATTTTATTATTAGAATGTCCACTTTAAGCCTGAAAAGACTTGGAATCAAAATCGATCCATTACCAGACAATATGCCTCAAGGAGACGTTCGATTTGTTGATATTTCTATGCTAAAAATCATCACTGGATTGATATCCGATAAGAAACCGAATCGTCTAAGAGTGACGAAGTTTTCGTATATGTTCAGTCGAGAATCAGACGTTTTAGATGAAGCACCAATCCAATTAGATCCCTTCATTTATTTGTTGGAGGACAGAGAATTGAAGACAGTTAAACTTCGGGCTTGGGATGATCGAATGGTTTTGCAAGCCAACAATTACCCGAACATGGTACGTAATTGTCTGATGAGACGTCATAGTGTTCAGTGCGCTCTGCCAAGATGGACAAATGTCGAGACACTGGACATTCGCGACGAAATCGTTTTTATGGCAGATGAGGATTTCACATGGGAGTGGGTGTATTTTTTCCCAAACATTCTTCTACCTCGATTGTCTGGTAATGATGTATGGAACGCGCAGCGTGTGAGTTTGATTTTGAATTGGTAATAAAACCAATTGATTTTCCCAGAATCTCCAATTGGAAGGAAATGAATACCAGCAATACACTGTGATTTGTAGTCAGGATTTGAATCACGATGAAATCTTAGAAGCTTATATTAGAAGCGACATTCAAGGAAAATTTGAAAACCATCCTGCACTTGGTTTCCCACTGAAACATACTCGTATTAAAGGAGATGGGAATACATATGTTTTGGAAATGATACCGAAACAAATCAAATTCATAGTTAGAGCAACGATGGAGGATGATTAAGATGAATGATTGAAAACTTGACTTTTCTTTGAGCTGTCTCAAATTCTTGTAAACATTTTTATTTTGAATATTTTTGCACACTTCATAAAGTATATTTCTACCAGCATGTTTGCCGCGCCTCCGGCGCTTCAAACAGCTGGATAGTGCGCCTTCGGCGCGATGAGACCTATTCATTGTACTGTTCGTCGCTCCGCTCCTCACTTTTTCATTTTTCTTTCTCAAAGGATCACGTCATTCATATTTTATTTTCAAGTTTTTCGATATTGTGACACACTTTCAGGATTTCCAATTTTCGAAAGATTTCTGGATTTCTGTCTTTTTTAATTCAAAAAATCGGAAATCCTGTAAATTCAGAATAATAATCTCGATGTTCCAAAAAATCACGATCCGCGATTTAGAAACTCAAAAACTTGGTAAAAACTCTCAAACTTCCATATTTAGATATTTACTTTAACATATGAAAATTCACGAGTTTTGTAATAGCGAAAAGTGTTGAGTTAGGACCGTCTCAATTTCTCAATTTCCAAATTTCTTAAGTTCCGAATTAGAAATTCTGAAAGTTAAAACTCGAAGTCTTTCGAATTAAAAAAAAATCATGAATTAACCTTCCGAAAACGTGGACATTTGGACTTGAAACTTCTGAATATTGACAATGAAGAGTTTTGAAACTTTCGATTTTTTTGTAATTGATCTCTAAATCCCCAATTGTCTTACTTTTACAGTTTCTGGATATCTTTATTTTAGACATGGCGTTCTATTTTAAATGAATAGCTGGGAGAAAATTCTATTAGAGAGTGGCATTCTATTCTTCAACACTATTTTTTGCGGAAAAATTTTGCAAAGATTCTTTTCGGACCCTACCAAAACAGAAACTGTGAAAAGGCAAAGAAGAGAAAAAAACAAAAATTTTAAAATAATCAAAGAAAATTTTTCAAAAGAAAAAACACCTAGCGTACCGCACAATAGGTCAGCCCGCTCCAGGGATGCTCGGAATGCCCTGCTCGGAATTTTCCTGAATGTCGCAAATTCGATTTCCAAAATTTAGGAGTTTCGGAAATGCGAAATTTTCAGATTTTCAAAATGTTTAAATTTCGGAATATTCGGAGTTTTTTAAAAATTCAAGTTTTAAAGTAGAAATTCAATTCTTAATGCACAAAAACGCCAAAAACTGGTGAAAATTGACTGAAAGATTTCGACAGCGCAAAAAAAATATCAAACATATGTTCGCTCTTGACCTGCAAGCAAATGTTTGGCGTGCGTCTTTGACATACCGTAGTTCAAAAATCTCTAATTCCGAAAAAAGAAGCTTTGTAAAAATTCCGATCGAGATGGTATTCCGAAAAAAGGAGACATTCCAAAAAAAATTTTCGGAATTTTTCGATTGGAGAGTGTTGTTTTTCGGAGGCTGGCATTCTATTTTTCGGAGCACATCTCAGAGAACGTTCTATTAGAGGGGATTCAATAAAGAGGGGCTATAGGGTGTTTTCAGTGTATGACTTTCGGCTTTTCATCAAAAACTTCTGTGCTTTCAGGCGGATCTTTCAAGAAAAGTCCATTAAATGTACTGATTTTTCACCAAATTTTCTTCCAAGGTTTTCTAGTGACTTGAGACAAAAATAAAGTGAAAGCTTCGAAAATCAATCAAATATTAAATCGACTTGAAACTAATTAAATTTGAGAAACGGGATACTTTTGTTTTACCATTTCATTCAAGAAGGGAAAATCGTTCGCTTACATTCTCACACATTTTTGAACCGTGTTGAAAATCCGCAAAAAAATGCTGGCTATCGAACTCGAACCCGCAACGCACGATATCGGCTTTTTCTACCCCTTCCTATCCCCCGGAGATTATGCCGCAACTATTCACTGTGATATGAATTCACTCGATTAGCTGTCTTTTTAGGCGCCTCTAGTATAGAACGACAACCGAATCGGCGAAGGCGCGGTATAATGCTGCAACCGACAAAAAGCGGGCTCGCGTCAACCACTATGCTTTGCTTTGGCGTGCAGCGACGACCACACCAAACTCTCCAGTCGAGACACCGGGACGGACAGACGCGTCTAGCGTTTTATATATAAAAAAGATAAAAGATTAGCAGTTTTTTTGAAGCAATCTGATCTCTGTTTCAATCACAGTATTAAGACAAAACATTTAAATCTCTGACTTCCGGATAACACATATTTTTGGAAATCTGTTAACGCTTATGAAAAAAAAGTCATAAACTGAGCCTTTTTCATAAGTCTACATTTTGTGAATTGAACACTTTCATTGAAAAAAAGAAGAAAACACAGTTTTAGTTTTTATTTTCTTCTGCGGTGATTCAAAAAATAATTCTGAATAACAACAAATGGAAGATTCAAATCTTTAGCAAGACTTCTTTTGGTAAGCGTTGTTGGACATTGGCACAATTTGAACACCTCTTCCAGGGCCTTCTCTTGGTATTTGGTAAATTTGGTCCGCGTTTTCTTCTCTTCAGATTCCACGGGTTGATTCTCCATCTTCTCAATCCTTTTCAGGTATGTCTTCTTCTCATCATCGTTCAATTGGATCCAATTGTAGATGCGGACGTAGAGAGCTTTTCCCATCTCGGTAAGGGACTCCCATGGCTTTGGATTCTTGCAAATACTTGAATAATACGCTTGAGTTCGGTGGAGGACCAATTCAGCAAAAGTCTTCTGACTGAGCATTTTTCCATTGAATCCAAATCGTCTTCTGGAACTTTCACAAGCATTGATGATGTCGGCAGTGTTGATTGAAACTCCATTGTGGAGGCTGGCGTCCAAATTGATGGTTAGGATGTTAGATGACACGGAGAAGATGGCGATGGTAGGATGGTGGATGGTGATAGGCGAACTGATTGGCCGATTAACGGTTCCATTGGTAGGTAGGTCTGTTCTAGTAGAGATGGAGCAATTGGCGCTCGTAAATTGACTAATTGTTCCATTGGATGATGAGGTTTTGACGCTGGAACGAGTGGTTGGAGTGTGACGTTTTGTAGGAGATCCTCATATTCCAGGAAATCATTAGATTGAGCAACGTCCACAAATGACTGTTGGCCAGAAGTCTGATTCTCCATTTGTCTACGAACTGGACAAGCAGAGCTTGCTTGGGTCTGATTCAAATATACCATTGATCCAATCGATCCAGAAGACGAGTCAGAACAATTTGAAGAATCCATCGATCCAAGGGATCCAGAAGTCGATCCATTAGAAGACCCAGGCGATTGTACTGTAGATCCAATTGGGACGAAGAACTCTTCATCAGTCAGACCACCGGAATACGGAGGTGTGAGACCTAAAAATATTATCGCTTAGTTTCGAAACAATTGAAAAAAAGGTTATTTTTTGATGATTATTTTGGATGGAAACTCAGATTTTGTACAGGGACTAGAAATTTCGAAAAACAAGACAAAGATATTTAAAAATACTTACCAGTTTGAGCGCAGCACAAGCTTGCAGATTGCAGGTAGTTGTCGAAGAAATCGCCAAAGTTGGACATTTTAGATGAGAATAATATCGATTAAGTCGAATTAGAGAGACTCGAAAGTCGTCTTGAAGGGTAAGGAATGCAAATGAATCATCTGGAGGTGGGGTAGACAGGGGGCGGGGTTTAACGTGGGCGGAGCGAATCGTAATGATGGTTCCTTGCACAACGCGTCTTCACCTTCTGGTTAGGTCCGGTTCACATGTCAAAAATGCCGTCATACTAATCAAAAAACATCTGCCTTTCAAAGAGGACCAATTGTATCTGTGGTAATGGCGAAATGATGCCTTTTGGGAAAGTTTTTAAAGTGCTGGGAATTATCTACAAAAACGTAGAAACGATGAGATTTTCAAAAATTCAAATTCATATTAGAGATCAATTTCATTGAATCTTCACAAATTAAGAAAAATAATATTTCAAACACAATTAAACAATAATTACAGTATATCCGTTAATTATAGACTTCCACTTCACCCCGTCTCTTTTTCCGATGTGTGACCACAATTTTTCGGTTATCAATTTTGAAAAAAATCCACTTCTTATCATCATTTGTCAAACAACTAACACTCAATTCATTTTCCTCTCTTCGAACATTGATTCTTTCCGCAATGAGATAATTTTGAATTTCCAACAAATTCATATCGTCTCTGACTTGAATAGTGAACCCATTCCCTGGCAACATGTCCTTCTGTTGGAAGATCTGAAAATTTTGATAATCTCGGAATCACAAACTCCCAGACTCACATTTTTAGCATGTAGAATCCGTTTGGCATCCATATTGAGCACACAGACAGTTTCAAAATGAAGGAATTTCGTCCAATCCTTTGCCATGAGCCTATCTTCAACATTCAAAACTTTTGCGTGCTTCCATGCAGAACGAGACAACACAAGGCCATCCAATTGGAGCTCCATCACCTTATTTCTTTCCACAAGATCGCTAACAATCAATTCCAATTCTCTATACCCTGCAATGAGTTCCGAATCATTCCAAACTCGAAGTGACAGCTCGTGGAGATATCGAGATGGTAAATGAATGAGCATCTGAGCAAGGACACTTGTATCCAATGAAAATGTAGATAGTTTATCCATGAACATTGATTCTCTTGTGAACATATATCCTAGTTTTTTGACATGTGTCTGACACGATCTCTTATTCATCAACAGTAATCCAACTATCGCTATTGCCGAAATGTCTGGAAAGTGATCATATTCCAAGTCATAAGGCTCGATGGCAAATTCCAGTTCTGGCAGTCTAAGCAAAGGATGCTTGAGTAGAAAGTACAAATCCACTGCGGAAACTTCGTCACACGACTTGTCCAGATAGAATCTAGTTGCTCCGTACACAACTGCACATCGATCCTGTCCCTGGCACCAATATTCCAGAGTTGTGACTTCCGGTGAGTCTTTCATGGTAATTTCGAGTTTGACATCCGTGTAGCCTACTGTAAACTTCAGTTTTTCAAGTTGGAATTGATAGTTTTTCGATGCCTGGTAGCATTTTTGCGAGTGTCGGCGATGAAACAATCTGGAAAGAACATTTTGAGTAAAGTTTGGCAACCAATCGCTATTGAACCGCCGATAGGCCGCCACAGGACCGTTTGCAAGTCGTAAACATTAAGCAGAGCTCTAAAAAACCGTTTTTCAAAATTCAGTTTGAATCAAACAGTACCAAACGAGCTGGGTGAAATAGAATATACCCCAGGCCGTTTATGGTCCGTCGGCGGCCCAAACTCAGTCTAAAGTAAGGGAAAGAGACCTAAAAAAACAATTTTTCCACCACTAGACCACCAACGGGCCACCAACGCGCTGAGCCACTACCGGATAAGCTAAGCGATCGCAGCTTCAGCCGCCTATGAGCCGCCAACGAATAGCTTGCAAGTCGTTGGTGATCCAACTTCAGTTTCAAGACGAAGATGGACCTAAAACGCCCAGAAAAACATGCAAATGTGCAGAAAACCAATCATTTACAAAGCTTTAGGAGTTTGCTGAGTTACAGGCCCAAAATTACTCACATGTTCAAAAGATCCTCCTGTGTCCGAATCAACCTTCCCGTATCTCTATCCAACCTCTTGAACAATTTCATCGTTAGATTTTCATAGCTGTCTCTGATCTTTGTGATTTGAATCTCATGAATACCCTCATTCTTATACTTTTCGACTCCTTGCTTTCTTTCGTTATCCATTATCGTTCGCCGTTTCACTGCATCCACTCTCAACTCTTTCTCATCATTTCGAACTTCCACTGGTCTCGCTTCCGAAACACCCACCGTGCCGGAATTCCGATCACTAGCCACAGTGACCAGTGTATTATTACTTTGTGGTTCTCGATCTGAAAATAGTTTTGGCTTCTAATTTTTTGAAACAAAAATGCCTTACTGATTAGACCCCCTGGCACTACGACATTAGTCGGAAGCTGATTCGTTCTTATCATCCAACAAACTTCTCGATGAGACTCTCGAATTGAGCATTTTGCGGCAAATCTTGGCTCCAGATGAGTTCTCAGTATTTTTGGTTTTTTATGAAATACGTGGTTTCTGTTCATCTGAAAATTATAGTAGGTTAAGAGGTTTGAAAATTTGAAAAGCGAGAAAATAATGATGACAAAAGTTGTCTGGATCGAAAAATTGTAAGCAAAAAATAAAGCGCGGGGTAGGGAAAATTGGTAGATCAAATTTCGAGAAAATTTTTGGAAAAGGAGACAAGTCTGAAATTGTGGATTAATGTAGCAAAAGTTTGTTTAAAAACAGTTATTGTCTATTCAAAATAATCGCGCG